CCAGGGCAATCAAGACGGTCCCATTTCCAGGAGATCCAACAATACCATGGTGTTGGGTCCAGAATCTTCTCCACTGGACCCAATGTTTTAAGTACTGATGGTTGCCCTTTCCTTTTGGCCATGGGTGGAGAGAAAGGGTCAAAGTCAAAGCAGGGATATGGAAATCAGAGCAGAGGGGCTAACAGGGGAAGAGACTTGTCAGCTTTGAATGGAAAAGCTTTTCAGTTTCTCACGTTAGTGAAAGGTAGTTAATGGGAAGCCAGTGTTGCTTTAGAAGGGAAGCCCCTTCTCTGAGTGGTGGGGATTTCTTCACCAATGCGCTATTCTGTGGGATGTTGGGAAGCCCCCTGATGGGTGGACGTCACAGATCCCATCAGCCCAGAAGCATAAATGCGTGTGAGAACCCAGAGTCTCACTTCTTTCCTCACTTCCGTCTCTCACAGACGTGGCTTCCTTTCCCTTACAAACATTTTCATCAAATAAGAGTAGTTAAATCTGGTCTTCATCCCCTTTAAGAAAATGGAAATCCTGTGGGGTAGAGTTGGAAGTAACTGCTAAGTCTGGATCCAGCAAAAAAAAAAAAAAAAAGAATATACTTTTTAAGACAGTGGGTGAAGGTTGAGAAATGCTTTCTTGGTGCTTATCTGTCCAGTACTGGAATCCTCAGAGGACCTCATGCTTGGAAAAGTAGAGGTCAGTGAAAAACAAGGAAGACCTTTAAGGAGATAGGTCGATGCAGAGGCTGTCGTGGTGAGCTCAAGCATAGCAACGATTGTTCACGGTGCAGGGCCAGGTGGTGCTTCCTTGTGTTATGCATGGGGTGTGAGTTGGGACCAACTCGGTGACATCTGTCAACAGCCAGAGCCAGCAAGGAGGTTGGAATGAAACAGTCGCGATATTGAAAAGTTCCTCCTAGAATCCTGTCACCACCACCATCACCACCCAGCCCTCACTGGCATCTAAAGTTCCCAGCTCTGCTACTCTGTCTCGCATGATGATCACTTGTATCTGCAGGACAGCCTGGCCAGGCACCACCTTCCTCTGCCTCTCTGACCAAGCTTTGGTCAGCCAACACCAATAGATTTCTTCATTCCCAGGAAGCCTTTCATTCCTCAGGGAAGACTCTTGCTTACCTGAAGCCAGGCAATGAGACAGCCATCGCTCTTCATAAAGGTGTCATCAGCTATGGAGACAGGAGGATTCTGGGAGTGGATGAAGGTATCCATGTTATTGCAAAACACTTGAGAAGGAGACCTAATTAGAGGCTCTTGCTAACTGTGAGGTGGTCAGTTCAAGTCCCACCCGGCTACTCTGTGGATGAGAGATGTGGAGATCAGCCTCTGTAACAATTATAGTCAGGAACACCCCTTGGAGGGCAGTTCTGCCCTGACTTTCAGGATCACCATGCATCAGGGGACAACAGCTGACGCTGGGTTTTTCAAGTGTTGGGATTTAGCTGGCTCCATATAGCTATACCTCATATCATATCGTACAAACCTCAGGGAAGGAAGCAGATTATTAAGATTCACCGTGGGTTATATCTCACTATTGCATATTTCAATTACCAAGTTTCCGATTCATCAAGGACAATAAGAACAAACGTTCATCCAGCTGTTGGAGATACTGCGTGATCAATGCAAGGACTCGGGGTTTTCGTCTTAAATATTGATTCTTCTGGTGCACGAGAGATGGAGAGGGAAATTGACTGGAATCTTTCTGAGCCTTCTGATATATTCTTGAAATTGGTCTTTTGAATATCCTGTTAGCAGCTTGTTCCTCATCTATCTTTGTCGCTTAAAGTTGAATGCCAGGGGAAATAATTCCCGCTCTAAGAGCTTAAAGGCTGTTTAGAATTTGAGAGGAGGAGAGAAGAGTATTCTTTGGTTGTGACTCAAGTGATTATTGCAAAAGAAAAGAAAGGTGAATGAATGGTTTGCCTTCTGCGTCTGGGAGTGGAGGGGATTTGGCTCTGCCTCCATTCTGTTCTGTACTAACCACAGCAAGCCTGATTATTTTAGGGGGCTAAGATCGTAAGCACTTATTAAATCAGAGCTGGAAAATATTCCGCCAATCGAGGGGAAAAAATAGATCTGAAATACATAGAAGGGATAAATGCATGTAATTGGAGAACTGAGCTTGGGAGGAGTGTAGTGGATCTGGGGTTACAAACAAGATCTGTCCTTAGTGTGTCTAGGAATTTGTAGATAAATCAGAACGAGCACATAGTTTTTATTTCCTCTGACTTTAGTGCAGGGAAAGGCTCAGAGCCTTTTCAATGATCTGAAAGCTGCACACACAGCAAGTGGGGGTGATGGTTGTGAAGAGCTTGTTTTTGTGTAGAGGCTGATATCAGTCATTTAAAAGTAAGGGCAAATGTTCAGAGCATTATAGGGTAGTGAGAGTTGTCCATAAGCAGGGCAGTAGTGACCTGGGGACTGCCGGCGATTTGGAAGGACTTCTCTGGCCAGTAATTCTCTGTCCCTTCCTCAGTCCTTTGGTAAGAATGTCTTGGTCATGGGATGGTAGCATCACTACCGCTCTCCATGGAACCGTTTTCACAGGGAGGCTGATGATTCTGCTGGAAGCTGGGAAGGACACAGATGTGTCTAGGCCAACATCCTGTACAGGAAGCAAGGTGGGGTGTGTGTGTGTGTGTGTAAGCACCGGATAGCTGTCAAAGTCCATGCCCCCAGTATGAAGCTTATAACTGATTACTCTCAAAGCACGTGTTTGCAGCCCATCCGTTCTCATTCTCACTTCCCCTTCCAGCATGGACTGATCCCTGTACCCAGGTGGTCGGCCACCTCTGTAAGACTGAGGCTTCCCCCAAGGCCAAGAAGAGCACACTTCCCCAGGGAACCTCCCCAGGGTGGCCAGACCTATATCTCTGGGTGTCTCAAGGTTTCTGGCTGCCTTTGCCTTTACTGCCACTTGGCAGTGGAGTTGATGTTTGTGTACTTTTCTCAGTTCTTTTAGCGTTTCATTTTGATTGATTAACAAAGTCCATCTTTCTTCCATGATGCCAGTGGTGGATTAGAACTTCCTGCTTTTGAGTTGGCAGTGAAACTCTTTACCCATTAGGCTACCAGAGCTCCCTCTCATGACTAATTGCTGTTAAGACATTGGTGTGTTAAGGTAGTTACATAGGCTGGTTTTTAAAGCATTGTTGGAACCTTAGTATAAATAGCTCTCAGCCTGTTGTTGTTATCAACCTTCGTTATATCAGCACCAATTTTTTTTTCTGTAACCAAAGACATTTTTGAAAAGTTTTTTTCCTGAAAATGCTTAACATTCCATCATATGAACATATACCATCATATCTCTGATATCAGACACAGCCATTTTTGCCTTTCCACAGTTTTAAATAAAGAGAGGTATAAAACATTTTGCATACGGGGGTCCCCATGTTACTGTGCTTGAACCGTACCATCAATTTGTTCCCCAGAAATTGTGCCACCCATGTAGTCAGCCCTTTTCAGTATAGGAAACATCTTTCTCACTACTCGGAGGAGTCCTGGTGGCACAGTGGATTAACAGTGGCTTGCCAACCAGATGGTCAGCATTTTGAACCCACCCGCTGGTGCCATTGAGAATCTACTCCTGCCAAGATTTACAGCCATAAAAACAGAAAGGTAGTTGTACACTGTGCTATAGGGTCACTATGGGTCAGATGCAATCTGAAGATGGTGAGCCTGATTTTTATTTTGGTACCCCTGTGATGTAGTCCCTCTATCTCCCCCGAGCCCTGTAAATCTGCCAGGGAGTCAACATGCAATATGACAGCTCTTAGTAACAGAGAGGAATACTTTCATTATCTTTCTGGGAATTACTTTCTCCCAGATTGTGGCAAGTACAGGTCTTTGGGCTACACAAGACACATACTTTATTTCTTTCCTGGCTTTTTGAGATAAATTCGGGCATAAGAAGTCAGTTTTGAATACTGATTATCAGATGTCACATGGCACAGAACCCTCACCCCACATATAACTTCCCTTAATCCTTTACACCTCTCCACTTCTTCTTTGGGCACATGTTGTGTTTGAAGTGTAGACTGAGCACCAGAAATGTCATTTTGGGGAGGACACAGGAAGGTTCATAGGTGCTGAGACTTTTGAAAGAGTAGTGGGCATTACTGTCTGGTGTTTTATGTGGCCAAGTGGTAAGAAAAACATAGTCCTCAGAGCTCCATCTCTGGTTTATTAGCTGTGTGACCAGCCAGTCACTTGACCTCTTCTGAGCTTGATTTCACCATGAATTCCAGTCTGTTGGATTCACCCGTGGTTGCCAGCCTTCCTTCACCTCTTAGTTGCTTTCCTCCCTCTCGCCATGGGAACCCCCTCTTTTGAAAGATTCGAATCTTTCGCATTTATTAGTTGATCTCTTGGGTATCTTTGACACCTTGCCTAGTTCTCCTAAGCTTTGATATATTATCTACAGTTTAAGGACTCCACCCATCCCACCACCTGCAGTGTCTGGGAACCCCTACAGTTAAAAATTAGTCAAGAGTGGCTGAGATGATCTTTAACATTTTGAATTGCCTTGATATTGGGTGTTGAATTTCATGTCATATAGGAGTCCCTGAACGGTGCAAACAGCTAATGTGCTTGGCTGTTAACTGAAAGGCAGTGTTTGGAAGAAAGGCTTGGCAATCTACATCTGAAAAAAAGCCGCCAATTAAAACTCTGTAGCACACAGTTCTACTCTGACCCATGCGGCGGCTATGAGTCAGAATCTATTTGATGGCAATGAGTTCCAGCTTCCGATTTGAAATTGGCAGGGCCTGTGTCATTCTCAGTCTCAGGGAAGCCGAGAGGTTCAAAGATGTGCCTGGGGTCGTGCAAAGCGATGTCTTTGAGACGATGGTTGGCCGTCCCTCAACAGAGAACTGCTTTGCCGCCCCCAACAGGTGCCTACAGACTGCCCGGCACGGGGCCTGGCACCCGGCAGGCACTCACCCAGGAGTGGCCCGTGGGTTCTCATCTGTGCCCCTCATCCCCCAGGTACGTGGCCATCTCCAGGGAGGAGAGGGAGCAGAACCTGCTGGCGTTCCAGCACAGTGAGCGCGTGTACTTCCGGGCGTGCAGGGACATCCGGCCTGGGGAGCGGCTGCGGGTCTGGTACAGCCCGGACTACATGAAGCGCCTGCACAGCATGTCCCAGGAGACCATCCACCGCAACCTGGCCAGAGGTAAGCGCCCGCTGCACGGGAGGCCACGCCCACTGCCGGGCCTGGGCTGGGGGAGAACCTTCGCAGGAGAAGCCGTTGGAAATTGCAGTGTGTGGACAGTGGGATGGCCCAGAAGGGTTCGCAGCTCTGATCCGGGCAGTGGCCTTCCAATGTGGCATCAGCCCTCCGTAGCGGTCTCAGAAACCCTCATGAGGAACAGAGCTGTGTGAGCGATGCATTCCTAAAGCCAAGAAAAGGAGTCAAACAGAGATTGATCCTGCCTCCCCAACCCAGGTTGATGGAAAGATGTTACCAACCACTGTTGCTTCAATAATAGCAGTTGTAGGCACTGGCATGTGCTCAGCAGGTATTCTATCCCATGTGATCATGGCATCTGTAGCACCTGTACCACAGGTGTGCTGTAGGATTTGACGAGGGAATAAATAAACAACATTTCAGATGATGCTCAGCTTGACCATTTTCAATCTTTCATTATAAATGTTCCACTTTAACGTTCTTGTGTGTGTTATTATGCACATGGCGAAATCAGAGGTCAGATGAGTACAGTGACACCCAGGGTTGTCTGGCTAGGAAGAGCAGGTCTAGGTCTCTGACACCACCCCCACCCCATCTGTGTGACTTCAGGAACTAAACACTAACCTACTGTCTTAGACGGGAACTCTGGTGGCATAGTCCATAGGGAGTTGTGCTGCTGACCCAAAGGCTTTGAAGATTCAAATCCACCAGTCACTCAAAGGGAGAAAGATGGACAGTGACCTCTTGTGTGATTTACAGCCTCTTCAAAGTCCACTGGAGGTTCGGCTATGAGTCAATTCTGACTTTGCAACAATGACCAAGAGAGAGACAAAGACTATATTATACGACCTAACCGAGAAAGCACTAAGCTCATCTCTTTTCTGCTTCATCTTGGTCTCATTACTGGCAGCCATGCTGACATGAGGTTAAAAACACACTTTGTATTAGAGGAGGGTTGGAGAGAGATGGGGACCTTAATGGGTGAGATCCCATTCAGGCTTTATTTAAATGGGTCATGAGTTTAAGATATTCCCCAGCCCCTAGCCCTTTGCCTCCTTATTCCATTCTCTGCCTGACCAGGGAAGGTTGGTGACTCTAGGTCCTTATTTAATTGTTTCTTTGCTGGTGCCAGAACCATACATCCAAATATTCAGAGTCCTTCTAGTCTAAGAAACAAGACTCTGCCCTGATCGTGCCCCACCCAATCTTGTTCCCGACCAGCCTAAGCATTGGAAGAAGTCTTCTTTTGGAATACAAGTTGTGAAGATAAAAGGGCGGTGGTGGGAGCAATCTATTGCAATTAAAGTGTCTCTTTCAAAACAAAAACAGAGCCAACCAAATATGGACATTGAATACACAGCTGCCTGACTTGGTAAAAGGTCTTGTGATTCGAGTGAGAAGAGAACCAGTGGATGCATTTGTCTTTTTGACCTGAGGCTGGCGCCTGCTGATGTCACTGGGAAAGGTGTATTTACATGATGAGATTGCAGTGGCTTCGTTTGACCCCTGGAGGTGCCTCCTGAGAAGCATCCAATGCACAGTGGCTGCTCAGTATGTCCTTGTGGAATGAGTCACAGAAGCAACGAATGAAGTCTCCAAAACAGTCCATACCATCAGAAAAAAGAAAATCAAGAGAAGTCATATCTAAGGTCCCAGGTCTCATACCTTGGCTATAATCCTCTTGAATTTTTCTGGATTTGTCATGTCCTTTTTTTTGCCCAGTCTTCTCCAAAGCACCTCAAGCTTCATCACCCTCAGAGATCTCTGAACACAAAAGGAATGTTTAGAGAAAGGGATGAGCTTTCAGGAGTGGCTCAAAGGAGACGTAGCAGACAACTCAGAAGGAAAAGCATCAGGACGTGAAGGTCCAGGAGGAAGGAGTGTCTATTCTTTGTCAGAATGAACAGCAGGGAAGCAGGAAGGAAACTGAAAACCACAGCTGGTGGGGCAGGGCCAGAGATCTGAGTGAGCTTGGCCTTGAGCCCTGGGAGTGGTCATGGAGCTCTGTGGTCTGTACAAGTGCATCTGTAACCTCTGGCTTTGGCATGTTCTGGATACTTTCCTGGAGCCTTCGATTGTTGCACCAGTCCTACTTGGCAGTGGTGCTGCTAGGAGTGGGTGACCTTGTGTAGGTGCCAACCCCACCCCCATGAACCTTCTTTCATATCTGACCATACAGACAGAATCCTCTGTTGATGTTAGGTGCCATCAAGTCGATTGGGAATCATACGGTGCTGTGTGTATCAGAACAAAGCACTCCCTGGTCCTGCGCCATCCTCACCAACTCTGCTGTGTTTAAGCCCAGTGCTGCAGCCACTGGGCCAATTCATCTTATTGAGAGTCTTCCTCCTTTTTTACTGAGATTCTGCTTTACCAAGCATGATGCCTTTCTCTGGTGATTGGCTTCTCCAGGTAACATGTTCAAAATATGTGAGACAAAGTCTTGCCATCTCGCTTCTCAGGAATACTCTGCACTTCTTCAAAACCAGGTTTGAATGAGTTCTCCTAGAAGTCCATGGTGTATTCCATATTCTTTTCAATACCACAATCCAAGGCATCTGTTCTTCTTAGGTCTTCCTTTATTCACTGTCCAGTGTCCACATGCATATTAATGAGTGACAATACCTTGGCTTGGGTAATGTGGACCATAGTCCTCAAGGTGACATCCTTGCTCTTTAGTACTTTAAAGAGGTCTTTTGCAGCCAATTTGCCGAGTGAAATTTTTATTTTAAATTTGAATCTTAGAATGATATGTGATAAGTATAGTTGTTAATTGCTTAACTGTAGTAATTCATAGATTATATGAATACTAACACAAAATCATTTGTGTTTATTTGGCAAGAAAACAAATAGGTCTGTCTAGGAGAGGGTGAAACCAAGTTTCTCCTTGGAGGCTAGGATTTTGAAGCTTCACCTCACTTACTTTGGGCACGTGGCCAGGAGAGATCGGTCCTTGGAGAAGGACATCATGCTCGGAAGGGTGGGTGGGCAGCGCAGGAGAGGGAGACCCTGGATGAGATGGACTGATACGGTGACTGGGGCAATTGGGGTTGGTGTGTTGGAGTTAGTGAGACTGGCTCAGGACAGGGAAGGGTTCAGAGCTGCTGTACATAGGATCACTATGCATCACAGGCAACTCAACCAATAACCTTCTATGACAGGTTTGGAAACAAGATTGGCATCCACTTCCTAAACAACTTGCCTCTGGAACTGCTATGAACTTTGGTAAATGCCAATAGTTGTAGAGGGGCTTCAAGCCTTTAGTTCATAGGGTCGCTATGAGTTGTGCTCGACTTGAAGGCAATCAACACCACCACCACCACCACAAAATCTTCCTATATTGAATTACAACATTACTGTTTGACACATTACTAGTAACTGAGTGGGAGCCTTTTATGATTTTTTTCCTTTTAACTGCTAGTTCATTCTGAAAAAATTATTGCTATAGGCTCATAAATACTACTTATTTCAATATTGTAACTAAAACACCAGGAAATTTGACAAGAAGCAGCAACTATGAAACATTGGCTGAAACAGAGATAATGCTTGTAGCATGTGCAGGTAAAACCACATGATTTGAAAGGTCCTTGTAATTGGATAATAAAGACAGTTCTCATTAGAATGCATCTAAAAGTTCAACAAGTGAATTAGCATGGAGGTTTAGCCTTGGTAGGCATTTGGATAAATGTAACCAGGGCTTAAGAAAAAATGTTTTCGTTGTTATAATTATCATGTAAGTTTAAAAAAAAATAATAAATTTCTGATGAAGCATGGCACAAAACTTTTATTAAGGGACAGACAGTAATTCTGGTGCCACCCTTTTGGGGAGGACCCCTTACAGTCCTCGCTCCCGTAGTGACACCAGGGCTTCTTGTAAAGCAAAATCACCTGAGCTCCAGTCACTCAAAGTTTTACATGGAAGAAGATTTTTCTGTATTTGTGAGTTGGAGCCCTGAGAAAGCCCACAGCGTGAAATACTAGAATTTGTTAACTAGGGACATTCATAGGAGCCCAGAACTGCTTTCTGAAAAGAATGTCAGTTATTCCTTTGTGACTGTCCTTTCAGAATTGCATGCATCAAGGGAGCTCTGGTGGCCTCATGGCAAGAAGCTGCACTGCAATCTCAGAGGTGCGTGGTTTGAATCCACCAGATGCTTTGCTGGAGAAGGAGGGACAATTTCCTGTACTGGTCAGATCCGATTTGACGGTACACACACAAAGAATTGCATGAATCCAATCCAAGCATCCATTGCTTGTGTTGATTAATATGTGCTATTTGATTAATTTTGAAAGTCCCCTGGTGGCTTAGGAAAGGCATTGCCATCCCAAAGGCGTTCAAATCCACCGGCTGCTTCGTGGGAGGATGGACAGTCTCCTCCCATGTGCGTTACTGCCTCTGAAAACCCGCTGGAGGGTGAGCTATGAGCCGGTTCCAACTCGACAGTCAAACAACAACCAAAAGAGCCCCTTTCCGAGTTCCTGGAGGCTTTGGGATCAATCTTGTAATGCTCAAAGTTCTTCTTTGGCATATGGCTTTTTCTAGAAGCCTTAAATCCAAAGAGGCCTCTCACTCCTCCTAGGAAATGTGAAAGACCTTGTCTTAGATCAGAGAGGCCTGAGGAGTCTCTGGTGATTGTAGCTTTGTCCTTTCGGCACCCTCGGGACTTTGCTGGCAGACCTGTTGGTGAGAAAGGGGAAAGGCAGCTTTAATTTGTAGAGCTTCTGAATGGGCAAATGTCGTATCTCATCTGCGAGACAAATAATTTGTGTTTTTGAAAGTCTCCTTCATCTTTTCCCTTCCACCTCTCTGCAGATGTGGGGGAACCACCTAAGCTGTAGGGAGCTTTGGAGATGAGGTTATTCCTCACCCATTCATGTGCTGTCACCTCTCAGAAACCTGGGGTCAACCGTGGAGCAGGGCTCAGCACCCCACGTCAGCTGTGGAAAGCCAAGGCTCTTGTCACAGCATGGAACCAACATCTGTATTACGCAGGGAGACTGGCATTTACTCAAAGGCCTTTTACAGATGTGGCTGTCAGATGCCTTATTACCAATGAGCATATTTCAGGTCAAGTCATTGCCCAGAGTTACATGAGCCTGGGACCTTGGCCTTGGTGTGGGCTTCCTGGGGGCCTTAGTGTGGGCTTTCTGAGGGTTGAAGAGATGCCTCGGCCTCCTTAAGAAGGCTCAGCTGTTTAATAAAGGTATACTAGCCATTTTAAAGAAGCTGGCAAAAAATTTGCTCTGCTGAGGTAACTTGGGGTTGCTGTGAATACTGAATGCTGTGCCACTGGTGTGTCAAATGTCATAATTTGGTGTCCATGGTGGACAGTGTTTGGTGGAGCTCCCAGATTAAGACAGGCTTGGAAGCAGCAGTAGCATCCACTTCCTAAACAACATGCCTCTGGAAACTCTATGAACTTAGAGAAATGAAAATAGTTGTAGAACAGGGTTCAGATCTTTTGTTCATAGGATCGGTATGAGTCACACTTGATGTGATGGCACTTAACGACAACAACAAAATAGCTCCTTAGTAAAGACTTCACTGAGGTCTAGAGATTTTAAGTCATTCACAGGGTAGAAAGAAGCAGAAAATAAATCCCCTTTCATCAGGTAGGAATCCCAGAGATGGTTTAGGAATGCTTCAGATCAGTGGCACCTTGGACCTTTATCTTGTTGGTGGCAGCCATCTGGGAGTCCTGAGCCTCTATAGGTGGCTCCGTCTCCTCTTTTCTCCCCACCTCAGTTGTCAGTGAGGAGAAGCACAGAACTTCCCAGTGAGCTTTCTCTCAATTGCTGGAAGAATTGGACAAGAAAGTTGTGTTAGGGTAGACTTACCCCTACATGTACTGTCTCTGGTGCAGTCAGGGAGGTGAAAGGAATGGGACTCAGGTTGTTTCATGTGGACATTTTACCAAGTCAAAGCAGCATCTTCTAATTGCCAGGGCCGGAGGGGAGGCCTTAAGGATTGGCTGAGTCAAAACTCATTGGCTCCGAGGCATGTTACCAGCCACCCCGTTTGACAGAATTGGCTGTTAGCTTCTAAGGGTCTGAGGCTAACAAACACCTTTGAAAGAATTTCTAATCACCATCCCCAATAGGATTTTCTCCACTTACAAGTGTAGAATTTGTATCCTTAGGGCACCATCAAAACTGTCTCCTGAAAAGTAATTCTTTCCACTTTTTCAGGTCCCATGACTATAGCTCCCATGATCCTTTAGGGAATCCGTATCTCTCCCTGATTGCAACACATGACCCATGAGACCAGACACAAAGGGATGTGTCCAGTGACTCCGTAATAGGAGGCCTTCTTTGTTTTCTGTTGGTTTTACCACTTTGGGGGTTTTCCCCACTTCCTCATACCCTGGTTTTCCTTCCTAGGAGAGAAGAGGTTGCAGAGGGAGAAGTCTGAGCAGGCTCTGGATAACCCAGAAGACCTGAGGGGTGCCATACAGCTCCCCGTGTTGAGACAGGGCAAAAGTCCCTACAAGCGTGGCTTTGATGAAGGGGATATGCACCCCCAGACCAAGAAGAAGAAGATTGACCTCATTTTCAAGGACGTGCTGGAGGCCTCATTGGAAACAGCGAAGGTAGAAGCCCACCAGCTGGCACTGAGCACCTCACTGGTCATCCGGAAAGTTCCCAAGTACCAGGATGAGGCCTACAGTCGATGTGCGGCGGCCATGTCCCATGCACAGAATGTCAGCCGGACCCAAGGGGAAGGGGATTGGAAGATCCCCCAAGGGGCTCCCAAGGAACCAGGCCCACTGGAGGATGAGGAAGAGGAGCCTTCATCATTCAAGGCTGACAGTCCTGCCGAGGCCTCCCTGGCATCTGACCCTCATGAGCTCCCCACCACCTCCTTCTGCCCTAACTGTATTCGCTTAAAGAAGAAGGTCCGGGAACTCCAGGCAGAACTAGACATGCTTAAGTCTGGGAAGCTTCCTGAGCCCCCCGTATTGCCACCGCAGGTACTGGAGCTCCCCGAGTTCTCAGACCCTGCAGGTAAGTTGGTCTGGATGCAATTTTTCTCAGAGGGTTGAGCACACACCGGGCAGTGCTCTGTTGAGGTGGTCAGACTCTGTCCTGCTGGAGCCACCACAGGGGACACCCGAGTTGTGTCACGTGGAGGTGGACACCGGCCCCAGGGGCCTCCGGCAGGCCCATTGCACTGCAGTGGGATGCTTCGTGGGTTTGCCAATGTATCCTCCTCATCAATAAAGGAAGTTGCACTGCAGGAAGGGTGTGTGCTGTGTTCTTGACCTGCTCTCTTTCTCCATGGTCCTAGCGGTGGGTGATTGACACCAAAGCCTAATTTCTAACTCTAATCCTTCTCTCTCTCCAGCTCTAAGCACTGTGTAGGCAGGGGGCAATCTCATAGCTTCCCCGAACTCAGTTCAGGAGCCCAGCTCTCTTTTCCTAAATCACTCCTCTGCCCTACGTGGTCCTATCCGTCCTGGGATCCTGGAAGGATGAGGTTGGGGTGGGGTGTGGATACAGAAGATTCAGAGCCTTTGGCAGCATGCATGCTCCCCCTTCCTTTTGACTGCCTGGATCTTTTAGCGTTCAACAACTAGAGAGGTTTTTCCGGACACATCTGAAGCTGAGTTTGAGATTTCAATAGCATTTCCTCTGTTAAACACACCCCCAACTCGGAATGAGGTGTTTCAGAGATTCAAAGCACCCACTTCAACTAAACTGTAAATTGATCCTGAAATCGCTTGTCAGAGCAAGCTTCGTCCTAGGGAGGCCCGGCTCCCACTCGCCCTAGACTTCACAAACAGTGCGGCAAATGGGCCTCGGGTCCTTGATGTGTTAACTTTTCTTTGAATGTTCCATGTACTTTTCTCTCTCCAGATCCACTCTCCTAGTTTGTGCTGTCTGGTTGGTAGGGGACGTTTCAGTTCCTTGAGTCAGCACTAGTGGAGGGTGAGGGCAGGCAGCAGGGCATGTGGTCATAACACAGAGCGGGCACAGATAATCCACGGAGAAGAGCCCGCTGTGGCTAACAGAGAGTCGATAACCAAATTCTAGGCTGGCATCCAATTTGCCTTAGGAATTAACTTGGTTTTCGTTCAGTGAGGCCCCTACAGTTTGGGCAGTGTTTCCTGATCACTTGGGAAAAGTCTAAATTTGTTCGTTCTACTTTTTTCTTCCACTCGGTGTAAATGTTCCCTTCTCATTTGTTTTCCAGCCTCAGAGAGCCTGGTGTCTGGCCCGGCCATCATGGAAGACGACGACCAGGAGGTTGACTCAGCAGATGAATCCGTCTCCAACGACATGATGACAGCGACCGATGAGCCCTCCAAGATGTCATCGGCCACCGGCCGGAGGATCCGGCGCTTCAAGCAGGAGTGGTTGAAGAAGTTCTGGTTCCTGCGCTATTCGCCGACCCTCAATGAGATGTGGTGTCACGTGTGCCGCCAGTACACGGTGCAGTCTTCCCGGACCTCGGCCTTCATCATCGGCTCCAAGCAGTTCAAGATCCACACCATCAAGCTGCATAGCCAGAGCAACTTGCACAAGAAGTGCCTGCAGCTGTACAAGCTCCGCATGCACCCCGAGAAGACGGAGGAGATGTGTCGCAACATGACCTTGCTCTTCAACACCGCCTACCACCTGGCACTGGAGGGCAGGCCCTACCTGGACTTCCGTCCCCTGGCCGAGCTGCTGAGGAAGTGCGAGCTCAAAGTGGTGGACCAGTACATGAACGAGGGCGACTGTCAGATCCTCATCCATCACATCGCCAGGGCGCTGCGGGAGGACCTGGTGGAGCGTATCCGCCAGTCCCCCTGCCTCAGCATCATCTTGGACGGGCAGAGCGATGACCTGCTGGCCGACACCGTGGCTGTCTATGTCCAGTACACCAGCAGCGATGGGCCACCGGCCACGGAGTTCCTCTCTTTGCAAGAGCTAGGCTTCTCCAGCACGGAGAGCTATCTCCAGGCTCTCGACCGAGCCTTCTCCACGCTGGGCATCCGGCTGCAGGATGAGAAGCCCACTGTGGGTTTGGGCGTGGATGGAGCCAACATCACGGCCAGCCTGCGGGCCAGCATGTTCATGACCATCCGGAAGACGCTGCCCTGGCTGCTCTGCCTGCCCTTCATGGTGCACCGGCCCCACCTGGAGATCCTGGACGCCATCAGTGGGAAGGAGCTGCCCTGCCTGGAGGAGCTGGAGAACAACCTGAAGCAGCTTCTGAGCTTCTACCGCTACTCGCCACGCCTCATGTGTGAGCTGCGCTCCACGGCCTCGACCCTCTGCGAGGAAACCGAGTTCCTAGGGGATATCCGCGCCGTCAAGTGGATCATCGGTGAGCAGAACGTCCTCAATGCGCTCATCAAGGACTACCTGGAGGTGGTGGCCCACCTCAAAGACATCAGCAGCCAGACCCAGCGGGCAGACGCGTCAGCCATCGCCCTGGCCCTGCTGCAGTTCCTCATGGACTATCAGTCCATCAAGCTCATCTACTTCCTGCTGGATGTCATCGCCGTGCTCTCGCGCCTGGCCTACGTCTTCCAGGGCGAGTACCTCCTGGTGTCCCAGGTGGACGACAAGATCGAGGAGGCCATCCAGGAGATCAGCCGGCTGGCCGACTCCCCGGGCGAGTACCTGCAGGAGTTTGAGGAGAACTTCCGCGAGAGCTTCAATGGGATCGCCATGAAGAACCTCAGGGTGGCCGAAGCCAAGTTCCAGTCCATCAGGGAGAAGATCTGCCAGAAGACCCAAGTGATTCTGGCTCAGAGGTTCGATTCCCGCAGCCGCATCTTTGTAAAGGCCTGCCAAGTATTCGACCTGGCTGCCTGGCCCAGGAGCAGCGAGGAGCTCGTGAGCTTTGGCAAGGAGGATATGGTGCAAATATTTGACCACCTGGAGGCCATCCCGACCTTCTCCCGGGACATCAGCAGGGAGGGCCTCGACCCCCGGGGGAGTCTGCTGCTGGAGTGGCGGGAACTCAAGGCAGACTACTACACCAAGAACGGCTTCAAAGACCTGATCGGCCACATCAGCAAGTACAAGCAGAGGTTTCCACTCTTGAACAAGATCATCCAGGTCCTGAAAGTGCTCCCCACCTCCACTGCTTGCTGTGAGAAAGGCCGCTCGGCCCTCCAGCGGGTTCGCAAAAACCACCGCTCCCGCCTGACCCTGGAGCAGCTCAGCGACCTCCTGACCATCGCTGTCAACGGGCCGCCCATTGCCAACTTTGATGCCAAGCGAGCCCTGGACAGCTGGTTCGAGGAGAAGTCTGGCAACAGTTACACACTGTCTGCTGAGGTCCTCAGCAGAATGTCCGCCTTGGAGCAGAAGCCAGTACTCCAGGCCATAGACCACGGGACGGAGTTCTATCCAGACATTTAGCGAGCCCTCGGCGCAGAGTTCACTATGCTGGTGAATATTTTTTTAACCTTTACCCATAAGCTTTGATATATTATATAAATATATATATATTATATACACACACACACACAGAGTCACACTGAAAATTTTTACAAACCAAGGTGACGCGTCCACCAGAAGCTACTGGGAGCTTTCAGAAAGGAGTAGTATTGGAAACAGACTCTCATCTACAAAAAATTTGGCAGCTGCAGCATCGGTGGCAACACGCTTTCACTCACCGGAGCATGTGCTGGGGCCACGTGCGTTGCCACCGAGAGGTCACCCAACCGCATAAGCTAGAATGACGAGTCTCTGTCATCGCCTTTAGGTAGCTCATTTTGTTCATATTGATGTTGGGGGTGCTGAGGGTCTGGGTTTGGGTTGGGGTCTGAGTTTATATTCATGCCTTTTCTTTTGTCATTCGGTTTCATGAAGAGGGGATTTCTTGGCCTCTCCCCTGATCTTCTGGTCCCCGACTTAAGATGACCTGGGGAATTTGTCTACTTTGGGGTGTTTTAGGGTTTCTCCAAACCCCTCCTCCAGACTTTAAGCTTGAGAAATTTTTACTCATTTCCTAGTGGACTCCCTAGGGAGTTCATTTTCTGTTTTGGAAGCAAAAATCTTGGTCAAACTGTGCCGTCCACCGCTCCGCACTTCCGTCGACCACTCCCCTCCCTAGGCTGTCAGCTCTCTCCTTCCATCTGCCCCAACAGTAAACCCATCAGGCTGCAGGCAAAATTGCAGGACAGCTGAGCTTGAAGCCCTAGAAAAAAGGAATAAGGAGGGAGCTTCCTGCATTGCCCTTTATACATGGTGGGAAGAAAAGCAATAGGCCATTCAGATCCCAGCCTGTTGGGGGAGATGAAGAGCCAAGAAAGCCAGACCCCAAGAGGGCAGTGATTTTTGGCTTTAAAAAAAGAAGTATATTATTCCGTTTATGTTACTTATTTATACTCTGTCTTTATAATCATATAATGTATTGGGGGTAATTTTTTCCTTTAATAATCAAGAAGTACCTACTATCCTCACTCTGTGGCAGGAGGTATCAATGCAACATACACCCCGGGTTCCTCGTTTTTCAAATGAGAGTCTAGAATTTAGGCCTCCTTTTACAGTAAAGCTGACGATATGGTCTGGCAGCCTGACAGGCAGGCAGGCTGGGGGAAACTGGGTGATGTTTTCAAATCCATGAACTCTTCCTTTTCTCTAACGTGGTGGAGAGACTTCCTAAAGGAAAGGGAAAAAAAAGCAAGAGGTAAAACAGGACTCTCAAATGAGCCTTCACACACACACACTTAGCACACACATACACACACACACACACACACACAACTGAGATATAAGCTTTAGAAATAGCTACTTGCCTACTCCCTGGGGCAAGTAGTGGTTTAAGTTAGTGGAGTCTGATCAATGCTGTTTGGTTCATTTAACTACCGGTATACCTCGCAAGGGAGTTTTTTTAAAAAAAAAAATGTGCGTGAGCTGTTAAAAAACTTCTGTTCTCGTTTCTACATCCGGTCTATGCATCTTCTATGTGCAGACATCCTAGAACACGGATCCAGGTCATGTTTGGGGAGCGAGGGAGGTCTGAATCTGAGGTGGTCCATTCTACTGGGAGCCAGCTCTCTCCAGAGGCAGAGGGTAGGCAGAAGCTGGCGTGACGTGG